TCAGGGGATCTTATATAAATTTATTGCAAATAATTGGGTCATTTTTATTGCTAATAATAATGGAATGCTGTCGATCCAGTAATAAAGTTTTTTATTGTAAAAACCAATAATTTATTGAAATCCAATATTGATTTCTGATGACTGCGATGAAATGAACTTCAAGAAACCGGGGGCCATGGACAACTTGATCATCTCGTGTTGTAAAGGAATGGTGGCATTCAAATTGAGGCGACATACAATAGCCTCATTCGCGTCTCACACCCTGTAGCTTGCACTTGACTGAATGTTTGCGAGTTTAATGAGCCTTGGGTAAACGCATAAATTTTGCGTTTGATGTAAAAAGAAATAACACGATGAAACTGAACGACATTAACATGGTATTAGAAACAGCAATCGTGCTATCTCACCCCCGCGAAACTGTAGTTAGCTTTCGACTAGTCCGCTGGAGCAGCACTACCAGGACACTCCGTACGCACCCCAAACTTTGCATTATTTTAGAATCTGCGCAGTTATTCGGACTCGTTTGCGTAGCGCTAGTTTCTTACCGTCAGTGGGTGGTCGCTGCCATTCCTCCCAGCTCATTAATTGCGAAATTCCAGAGCGTAGTCAACAGTGCTGTCTTTACCGCTTACAGCTCGGGTAAAATGATTCTTGCTTGCTCATCATTGCCAAAAGCATTTTCCCTGCGTTTCTCGTATTCCTCCTACAGAGCATCACACTTCAGTGGAGGCTAGACACGCAGCAGCAAGCGAGAGGCATATCTCATTTTCGTTTGACGCTTTTGACACAACTGGCGGTTTGAAGTCTTGCAGACTCTCAATCAGTCTACATGTATTGCTGAGAATTTATGCGCTCTACCATGTGACGAGCCTTTGCTGCTTGGGATGCGACGGCTGCAGTCGTGCTTGACAGCAAAGAGCCCGAATTTCTTAACCAGTCGTCATGCGCGTGCACTTATGCAGCCGTGCAGTCATTTCCGCTTCGCGGCAGTCTCGAAGCCGATGGAAGATCATTAGGAGAGTGTCATTATAAAAATTGCTGCGGAAACACCATAAGTACCAATCAGTAAAAGCAGCAATACAAGATGTCCCACGCAGCCGCAGTGCTGGTCTTTCGCATCCTAGCTGGCTGTTCCTACCTGGTCATGCTCACCAGTCCGTCCCTCAACATCTACCGGGTCTACAAGGCAAAGAGCGTCGGCGTGCAGTCCATTTTCCCTCTCGTATCGCTACTTGCAAATTCTCATATTTGGTGCGTACTCGGGCGATAACACATACTATGACTGCGTATTCACTAATACTTTTCATCTCATCAGGATGATGTATGGTTACTTAGCCAAAATCTACTTCCCAGTCTTCTCGTGCTTCCTCCTTGGTGACTTTGCTGCCGTAGTTTACCTGACCATCTACTACCGCTACTCGAACAACCGTGGCTACGTCGTGCGCTCAATTGCCACAACCATTGTCATTATTGCAATCCTGAGTGTCTACGCCATTGTCGGTGGTCTCGGATATACCTACCAGTCTCGTCACAGCGTCAGCACTGTTCTCGGTTTCTTCGCTGACGTTGCCAGTCTGTGTCTGTACTGCGCACCGATGGAGAA